CAAGCAATATTTTCCTAATAACAATTGTATATGCAACAAAGCAGATTACACTAAGCCAAAATTCTTACACTAATGGAGCCCCGGGGTCTACAGGACCCTTACCGTTGCCAACAAATATACAATTTTATAGCAGCACACCGGAGCACTAATCAGAACGTTGGCGAACGTTAGACAGTTTAGGCAAACAACTGAAGTGAATTTACATGGGAGAGTCTCTGTTACGTAGAACTCGTTGCGGCAAAATTCTTAAGCAGAAATTATGAAGTCCCCAGGACTCTTGACGCTCCAGTTAAGGGTTAAATATGTTAATTTTAACACGTTTACTAACGTCTCAGTCGGTGAAACCGGCCCTTACAGCACTACTGCGCTGCTTACAAAGGGAGGGGGTAAGGTATCTACATTTCAGAGCCCATTTAGCCTCCCCTTTTCCATTTAATTTTTTCCCACATTTTTCTAGCAAATAAATAAAACATCACGAATAAATAAATTATAAATTAATGATAATATAATATGTACAACTGATTTTATGCTCAATCGTCTACAGGGCTGCCAGATAGTACGGAAAACTTTTCAAAATGTATAACAATTTCTCAAAGTATCAGATCAAAAACGGGAAAATAAGGAACTGTTCGTATTTGCAACAAAATACTTGATTATGTCCGGTCCTTTTGAAGTTTTGTGAAGGCCTTCCCGGGCACACGCCGAGCTAAATGCATAACGAACAAACTGAAAATAAAAGCAACGTTCCGCGAACAGCATGCCGAAAACCAACCAGCACGAAACATTAATCCTTACACTACACTCGTCGGACAGGGGCATTTATTTTATGAAATGGATTGCAGCTACACGTAGTTACTAAGTTACAGCAACGTACTCAAATACTTATTGACTCCTTCAAATGAAGGCTCACTCGTAGCCGGAAGCGTGCTCTACGAATTACACCAAATTCCTAAATCCAACCGGATCAGCGCGTTTAAACTGCCGTGACTTATTTTGCAGATCAACAAAGTTAACATTTTTAAACTATTTCACGTGCACCCCCGTCACACATTAATTCTAGGCTGGTTTCGGCAAACCTCACCACACTACTTTTTGTGACAGTATTTCATAAATGTTGCTACTTTCGACGATTGCGCAATTCCAAAGTAAGAGCATTGAAAAAATAAAACAAATTTAGAATCGACGGTGGTAGGGATGATTTTTTTTAAATGCCGATACGCGGACAATGGCCAAAACAAGTGTGCGGGAGACTAAAATAAACAGGTTTTGTTCGGAGATTCCGCCAACTGAATAAAAAAAGTTCAGAAAATGGTAAACCACGAAATAGTAAATAGTAAAGAAATTTAGTGGCCAATCGTTAGAATGACAACTCTCCAGAATAAATGCGTGTATGGGTTAAGAGACTTAATGAAATTAACGGAAATCCTGAGATTTAAATACAAAAAGCAATGTAAGCATTTGAGCATTTATTAATAGAAGGCCTAGAATTATTTCGGCACAGTGCAATACATCAAAACAAATATTCTATATTATTTTTTTTTTGTTTATAGCCTAAAACGGATTGGGGACATCACTGCGCACTTTTTGTAGCTCTAGAACCCCAACCCCCTTATTTCACTAACCACCAGAATACAGACAGGGAATTATCTGTATTAAGATGAACGGATGTGTAATCATATATCGATAATATACCACTCGACATTAAAAGTAGAACAATAATACAATTGGCTTCCAGTCTGACATCAAAATCTCCGCATTACAAAACTTGACTAGGGAATCACGGCAGAATACAATATATGAGCGTTTCGAGATTTAAATACGAGTGTCCTGAACAGGGAATTCATTTTCTTGCGAAACGCAAAATCAAGAAAATTCGATATATTGCAGTATTTCAAAACAAATTTTCCAACACATTTGAAAGAGAATTCCTGAGATTTATGATAAACCAATATAGTATCACGGCCGCTCCCCTGGGATTGCCCGCCGGGCATCCCCATCAACGCGATGGCGTGAAACGCCCGGGCGGGAGACCTCCCCTTCCCCAGGCCGCGGCGACCCCTGCTCAGCCGGGAGGGCCAACCGAAAGCGAGGTGTAGCCGAGAGACAAAGCCGCACGCTCGGACAGGACCAGGCTCTTTAGTGACTGACCTACAAAACGAAGCAGCGAGGTTTCAGAGGACCGCTCTTCAAACGATTCGTGGTATAATTTCCCTTCTGCAAGTACGGCCGATCGAATAAAACATTACATATAACACAAACTTATGCCTTATGTATTCAAATAATGGATATACAAGTACGAATTCCAAAATATCAAGATCCTATTCTCCAGGCCTTCGGCCCACACAACCTTTACGCCACCAACCCGGAGCTGATAAGGATAATAATCTACGCAGTTGTTTTGAAACCTCAGACTTCGAATGGGTTGCATCAGAAACCGCTGCCCTCTGCCATCAATTTTGCGGAACATCCATAAGTGTGTCTACATCCTTCGAGACTAACTGAAGCACATTACATATCCATAGAGTATCCATAATTCCCGTTTAGCTGATCACAGATGCAATTATCCTATTTGTTGGGGACACTTCCATAGCACAGAAATAATTCCTACAAATATAATTTAAACATCTATATCTATCTATATTTTTTAAATCTATATATAAAGATAGTGCCAATTGTTTTAAATACTCGTTTTCAGATTTTTATTATTAACCATTATAAAAAAAATTCAGTCTTCATTAATTCACCCTATCTCTAAAAAAGTTTATGGCCGATATGACGTTTTTCAGAGCCATTAAACCAACTACGCTTTTCTATCTTTATTGTCCAAACTTTTTATATAGCAACACCTGCCACATCATCCTATAAATATATTCCAAGTCAATGGCCAACCCTTGGCACTCACCCAACCCAAAAGGAAAGAACTCAACCTGGGTCTATGCACTACACAACCCTAAACTGTTCACGTCAAAGCAATTTGCATCCTCCCTACTCGGGGAATTCTTGCACGGGTGCCATACTGACACAAACACACTTGTCTGGCAAGACCAGCAGCAAATTCTGCCAGCCTTTACTTTGTAAACAAGCGCCTGTTCCAACGATAAACTCATCGGCCGCAAAATAACGCGTCATAATTTAATCCATACCATAGACCGTGTCATTTTCTCTCACCGCAATTAATGTACAAGATAAATTAGGTAATTACATGTACAAGTTTTTCTGGAACACGATGTAGAAAGAGTACCATTCTTCACAGCATTCCTCCCATTAATTTTTTGTTAAGATCATAAGATGTTAATTTGTTGTTCGACTACAGCTATTAATACCGAACTTTCAATATAATTCAATGTAAAAACACTGCTTAACCAGTTTCTTTAAAAAAAATTAACACAACCAAAACCCGAGTATTGACGAATAAGCTCTTCGATTGGTATACTGCACTGATCAGTTCAATTTGGAATACATGCGTATTTCATTGATTTTTTTCCAATTATTTGAAATTAACATCTTTATTCTGAAAATTTCACAATGATAAAAATGTTCGCATAAAAAACGATGGAATTTATATTAAGACATGCCAATTCGCAATTCAAAAGAAATATTAATCGTAAGCGTTTCAATGTATTTTCAATACTTCTGGTCATAAATTCTGCAAATTTATTTCGCGGGTTGTACAACCGCGTATAATTATCAGAACAATGAGGAAATTCCACCCAACTGAGAAAACCATGCCGACTGTGAGAATAAGATTGTTTCAAAATTTCAAAACATGAAAATCACAAATCCACTACATTCTTCAGTAGTTGCAGGGCAACCGGTGACCTTACTCCCGAGCAATGATTAAAACCAGACTTGTGTTATTAAAAGGCCACCTTTATTTTTTCGTCGCAGATGTGAAATTTGTACAAAATTTAACGGGGATTTAAATTGTACGAAATGTATAAGATTTAAACTGCTAAAATCCTCGTCAAAGCCTTTATTTCTAAAGATAAAACTTCTGGTACCATTGTCAACACATCTTATCAATGATACGCACCCTAATCTTTTTCCCCTTAATAACCAAATGTGTCTTATCTGGAGAAACTATGCTGTAGCCACAAGGAATATCTGCGAATTTACTTCCGCATGCTCTTAATAAAAGGTCGCTCACCTGGACATCACAGACGATTTTATTGAGATGAAATTCCTATAAATTCACTGTCATTCTAACAATGCATCACCACGAAAATCTTCCCAATATCCAAATATCTGGCGAGGCTATTCTGAATTTTTTTCACAATACATGGACCGATAACACAAACTTTCGTTTCCAGCTTTGGTATGGATATTCCAAAATAGAGTTTTGTTGGAAGGTCCTTTAGGTGTTAAATCCAATTCTGTGGTCATTCGTACACCTCGAAAAGACCAGTTGAAACGGATAACCAACGTACGAAAAGAGAAGCACCGCACGAACAAATGGTGAATCGAAACGGGATAAAACACAAAAGCTATCAGTCAATCCATAGTCTCGACCTATCCAACCCAAGATGGCCACCAGGAGCGCACCTAGCAGAGAATTTGGTTTTATGAACATTTCTGCACTTACCTGGAGCTATCCAACCCCGGCATGGCTTCTAAATTATCTTCCTTACTGCTGTCGATACTACTTAACGAAAGCAGACTACAAATACTCATACTTCCTTAGCAGTGGAGCAGACCGATCACACGAATGAGCTAGCTCTTACGCTGATTACGTCGAGAGTGGTATACTCTTCATGTCGGACGCCCTGCCGACACGTCACTGTGACGTAGACTGGTCGTTGTTGTTCGAGCCCGCCACAAGGCAGCGCTTTCGTGACCTGCGCTGTTCGCCGCACGGAAGTTCTAGAAATACACTACAAACAAAATTCTTGGCGCCCGTTCGAATTATTCTCTTGGGCATTAAGTCGATGGGATTGTTTACTAAAAATTTTCGACGGGATTAGGATGTTTCACAGGAAGAGTAAGAGTAACAAATGACAAAGTTTATTTTGAATGATAATTTAATTCAATTTTCAAAATAGTTATAACAAGTTCTGAAGTGCAGTTTTTAAAATTATTTTGTTCATTAATATTATGAAAAAAAAACAACAACAAAGAAAAAAAAACAGGATTTGTCTTCATGTACGACATACTTGTACTACCATAAAGATGAGAGTAAGATAGGACACCATAGTGAGCATAGAAAAACAAAAACAATGTTGTCCTATGTCTGACAAACATGGCAGCCTCCAAGGAGAGCAAAGATTAAAACACTTAAGTACTCAAAAGGACATCACTGATTATGGGGAGCAGACGAATTCTTTAATCTTTGCTCCCCTTCATTTTCTAGTGCCACTCTTAACATAATGTTCTCACAGAATAACTGACAGCAGCAAGGTGGGAGGGATTTAGGCGACTACACGCCTTGGCATTATTATACACACATTCACACAATGACACACTCCAAACGGTTTTGCATCACTACTCCATTCCAATGAGGCAATAGGTAACACTTTGTTACAACAGCCAACAGATCACATTAAAAAATTCAAAAAGAAAAAAAGAAAGAAAAAAAAGAAGAAAAAAAAGAGAAGAAACTCCATTCTATTCTTAGGATTGAGTTTATGCAGTTATCCACTACAGATCAAAGGCTACAGATCATACATGACCAAAGAATCTGCACTGCTTGTAGAATCAGTTCATTCTCCTGTGTATTTGCTTGTAGTTCTTTACTATGGACAGTCAGAATGGAACGTTGCTGGTGATGAATTTACGTCTTCCTGTCAACAAATACAATATAAGCATTATTTTTGTTTTATTACCAAATTGCCAACAACAATAGAAACATTTTATCAAAGTATTAATTAGAATAACTACTTTAAATGCTTATCATTACACTCTTGGCCAGCCACAGAAATATCTCTTTCGATCTGAAATTTCAACTTAACAGTTAAAAAATAAATGAATTTTAAAAAACACTTTTGTTTTGTAGGAAGAACAACATTTACTCATGTCAGAATATACACTTCAAGATCTTTAATGTGAACTCTACTTTCACATTCAGAGCAATTAAATTCTTCAGTTCTTAACCCTGAATAATTACTTAAAGACTGATTTGCTTCAGCACACAAGTATTTTGTGTTCATTGATTCTCTTGCTTCGCATGATGCATGCCAAACAAAAGTGCATAATGCAAATAACAACTAATATTTCAATGAAATGGGGCACCATCTCAATTGCTCTATGACCACACAATTGTCACTTGGATTTATTAGCATTGTTACCCTGGGCTTGCATTGTGTTGATGCTGTCACTAAGTGTCTTTGAGACAAACTAGTTGGAGCCAGAAAATGAGTATGAAAACTGTTAGAAAGATAATTTCTAAAAAACATTTGTAACCTGAACCATTATTCTTGATTCTACCATTGCTCCAAAATCATATTTGCTCTTTGACTCAAACATATTTTCACTTAATCCATTGGGCATTAGATTTGGATCAATAATGAAAAAAGTAAGTAAAAAAATTTGAAAGGTGGTGTTGTTATGGGCAAGATAAGATGTGAAGAAATTGTCACAAAACTGTGGCAGACATAAGTTTCGTCACATCAATTTTCCCCAATGCAAGACGTGAATATTTTCCCTTGTGTTTGCGACATTGATTCCTGACCACTTACTGAAAATGTTGATTTTAGGTATTAGTGATTACTTTAACTTAAAAATTGGGATAGTTTCATTCTGTTTGTGGAGTCCCTAAATATGAATTTAGTACTATAAATATATCAAAATTGACTTGTTGGCATTTATTTTATTTTTGTTTGAAAGTGAGAGTGCAGGTTGAAGCTTTCACATTAGGGGTTCCAAAATTATCTATGACCTGGAACTATGGCAGTCAACCTTACAATTGCAATACATACTAACTTGAATTGTGAGCTAGCTGCTGTCAAAAGTCTGTTGCAACACTATAATGGCATTTAATGGCCCCTGAGATTTATATTTGAATGAGAGAATTCTTTAATTCTTAATTTTGATATCTCACAAACTAAAATATATAGCAATTGTGAAAAATATTGTTTTATTTGTTAAAAAGTATGTTATACCTCCCAAAAATTCACTTAGGTTTGCATGCAAATCCACAAAATTGTATTGTTTTTGAAGATACCATTTCTGAATTAAAAAGGATTTCATAACTATTTATTGAGAAACCATGACTATTTATTTACAAAGAATTTACACCAATTTCACATGCTACATTTTTTATAATAGGTAAAAGAAAAACAAAAACTTGCCAACTAGTATTATACTGCTGTATGTTTGTAATTGATTTATTGATGTATTATATTAAGTAACATAAATAGTCGTTCATAACAACACTGTTGGTGTGACTAAAAATAAAGTAAAAAGTTTACAAAAAGTACAGGAAAGAATGAAGATTATACCGAAATACAGATAATCATCACAAACGTAGAGGATTCATACAAACTGCTTTATTTATTTTCTGGTCAAATAAAAGTAAGGTAAAAGGTAATACTTTTTGGCTGTTACTACCAGATCAAGTATAAAACAGAGGGTCCTAATTTTATCTTGCAACCTATGTCTGAGAGCACCTGCTCTTGTTTGGCAACTGTATCTTTGCCGCCACTCACGACACTGTCACTCATGAACTGGCACATCACGATGGCAGAGGCGGTAAGCATCAGGTCGTAAGCTGCAGCGACTTTCCTGTTTCTGTTTCTTCATGCAAGACTCAAGTATATGGCTCTCAAACCAGAATCCTTTTTGGCATGCAGGCACGGTGGGATGGTGTGAGGTGGGCTGAGACATAAGCAGGCATACAAAACTAGTCTCTGCAATAATGTCCTGTATGCTCTAGAAACAAAACTGATATTGAAGGGGAGTAGGAAAGTTATAACTGGTTTTCAAACTTATTAACCAAGATGTAACAATGAAATATTTAATGAAAGCTGGCACAGAGAGAACTTGGGAAGGTCTCTCTTGAAATACATTTTTCATACAAAGCCCTCGATTTATAACAATAATTATTACCATAAAATATTATTAATAAACTAATGATTATTGAAAATAATCGATAAAAATTAATAAAAATATTATTGCTCATCAAAATGACAGTTTTGATGATTCTTCTTTCCTAAACGTGAGTTGTTACATAGAGGAAAAATATTCAGTCTTTCATCTATGACTTTTGTGAGGGTGAATGAAAATGGAAAGAATGACTGCTCAAAGGCAGAGTCAGTGCTTTCTTCTTTTAATTAAAATAGCCGCATCCTGCCACCCCAAAACCTGAGAGCACACAACTACCGGAGGGTCGTTAAAAAGTGACGGGAATCCCCAAGCTATTTCACGGTTGCTAAAACAAAAGCAGGTTCTCCAAGACATGGGTTGCAAGTTAAAATAAAAACCCTGTACATGCTCGATCACAAAACTGTCACATGACTAAGGAATACAAACCCAATTTCTTCAACAGCAAGGTGCGGGAGCAGCTCCTGATTTATGTCCAGGTGTGGATCGTTCTTCTGGGGGAGTACGTACAGGTCCTGAGACATTCCCCATTGGTAATTTACACCTACACAGATAAAAGATTTCCTTCCAATTAAACATTTTCTCGCATTCATTTTGCAACTATAACATTTCTGCGTCAACAAATAATAAGAATAAGGAGCATTTATTAAATGTTTTAATTCTAACTCATCAGCCAAGCCCAAATATTTTTGACCAACTGAAACTAGTTTGTGACAGATATTATTGGTTTAGCTTCTTTTAATTTTTATAAAAAATGTTACATTTGATTTCATGCCACATTAACTGTACAAAAATTTTGTTACAAATTAATCTTCAAACTATTAGAAAGTTAGCAAACCATTAGCCTGAAAATTTTCTAATCTTTTAAATAATTTAATAACAAAAAACTGTACAAAAACACACACAAACAACTTTCACAACTGAAACCAAATTTTTCCTGGGCTGTAAAGATTCTATGATAAATTCCTTATTTTCCTGTACTGCTTCAGATCAATGATTTCTCTAAGTTTTGCAGAAAGTGATCATCCTGAAGAAATAGGACCACGATACCTCCAATTTAGGGAGATCTTTAGAAATAAATTATCTATTTAACTTGGAGCACGTAACAAACCATTAACAACAAACCTTATCTGCAGTAATGTTTTCCCCACACACGATTCTATATACTAAACATTTGTGGGTAACTACCCAGACATGTTTTCAAATGCATTGTATATCGATTTACAAAAGTTAAGGTGCCTTGCAAACAAACAAGTTTTATTGAATCAGAAATATTTCCAAGAAATTTTTAATAAGAAAGTTAATTATTTTAGACTGTATTAATTACAATAAATACATCTCTCCCCCCTTCCCTCTAAGTTCAGCTTGAATCCTGATTTCTGACTCGCCTACCACACACTGTAATAGCTTTTTGAGGTCACTCTGGTCTCTCTATTAGTGTATATTATTAGCATAATGAGTAGATATCACAAAGTACAAATTACTAAGTACAACAAATTGAACAAATTATCAGGAATCACTATCTTGGATCTGGTATCTTTGCAGTACAATACATAAAACATTTCTTTTGGGAAAGTCTAGGAGTAGTATGTATATATATTTTAGAAC